GCCCGTGTGGAAGCGACTCTGGGGTGTTGGTGCTCGGAAAGGGCAGCGGTCGGTTACAGATGACACGTCAAAATGCCAAGTGGAAAACGAGTCCGTCTCTGCCCTGTGCCCCTGCCTCCCCGCGCAGGGCGGCCTTTCTGCTGAGCTTCCTTCCCGCTGCCTTGGGTCTTCCAGGGGAGAAAAAGACAGGCAGACAGACGCTTTTCAAGCCTGAAGAGGCGTCCCCTGTTCTCTGGGGGATCCACCTGCTGCTTCCCAGCTGCTTGCCGGGTTTCTGGGTGCTTTTCTGTGGCCGGCTAGTTTCTCCTTGCTTTCTGTAGCCTTTCAGATTCGTAGTTTTGAGTATGGTGCACTGGGCGATACATCAGGATTGGATTTAATGAAAGTGCTGTATTTGTCCTTCTGCTATTGACCAGAAGCTTCTGTGTTGTAGCAGCATGGTCTTTTACAGCCCTTTTTCCTACTTCTTCACACACACCCCAGGCCGCACCACCACCGTTGGAAAGTACAGCAGTCTTACTGGGCAGTTTCAGATTTGGTAGTGCCCAGATCGCTTAAAATATGTTTACTTAAGGCACTATTTGTAACGGATTTTTACTGTGTTTCCAAGAGTGATGTCTGTATGGACTCGGTATTAAAATGCGTAGATGTTAATTTCTGATGCTTATGAAAGCAGACCTTCCTTAAAAGCTGGTTTTCTCCTACTTAGTTCCAGCCGTCCCTTAGCAAGCCAGGGTGACTGAACGGTGGATGCCACAGAAACCTCGGTTTGCTCCGTGTTCATACAGACAGTAAGCAAAATGTTGCAGGGAACATAGAAGGAACGTGCTTGATGGATGTAAGGAATGGAAATAGGTCAACTGAAAAAGACCTTTTGGTTTCAAATCGAGCTGCTGAGATATTGTAATAGACAATCTGATGAGGTGACTTGGTCGTTACAGTATGGTCACAAGTATGACGCTTTCTGAAGTAGAGTGTTGCTGCTTACTGGTGAGGACTCGTTGGGTTTGTTATTTGGGCTGCTGACCGGTACCAGAATCTCTGAAAAACACCAACACAGTTGTCCTTGGAGCTTAGGATGGTATTCTTTTTATAAATAGTATGAAAAAAGTAGTTCATCCTCTCTTGGAAAAAAGCTAACAAATTTTTGTGAGTTACAGGCTGTCCATTTTCCTTCTTAAATTTAATAACACCCACACCCTATAGTTACCATAGTGTCACATTACAGCAGGCAGAATAAGTAAAGGTATCTCTGTACGCAGTAGCTACAGTCGCTTGTAAAGAGTGTGGTTAGAATGTGACACTATGCATATATATATATAATTTATATATGTATATGTGTATGTATACACATGTATCTTAGGCTCATTGTCTCTGTGAGGCTTGCTTTTCCGCCTTCCTTTGAAAGTGAGAAACTTTTCTGCTACAATAGAATGTGTCCAAGAGAACCGGACTCCAAAGTGTTATTCTCTTGAAGACACCTGGGCTTTCTGTGGCTGGTTTAATAAAGGAACAAAGTTTTCCCACATGTAGTGAGAATGCAACCACTTAACTCTTTCTAAGGGATTATGGTTTTAGTACTGGAGCTGCATCTAGAGAGAAGCACCGGTCCAGCAAAGAAACCTGTTTTATTTTACTTTGATTTGCTCTTCCTGTATAAACACTGAAGATGACAGAACTGAGCTTGGGAGGTGGTTGTTTGGCTCTGGGAACCTCATTTGCAAGGGTCCACCCTGGGGAAGTACCCTTATAAAAAAAATGACATGGTCTAAAATAGAAGCACAAAGTGTTTTCTGACCGTGAGTTTGTCTTCAGGTTGGTATTTCACACTTTGGAATGTGTTTTATTTATTCAGATTCTGTAGTTTATTTTGGAAGATTTTTTTAGTAATGAACTTAAAATGACTGTTAAGTTCAGGAAACTTTGACTTCCCCAGGTTTAAAATTAGCATCTTCATCAGTAACAAACTAGTCTCCAGTGTTACGCAGAACACAGGTTTCCCAGAAGACGGGCCTCCTGCCAAGGAATTTTCATCTATTTACTCTTGGGCAATTCTGTCCTTAGCAAAGCCGAAACTGGGAAATGTGTGTGTTATCATCCAGGCGACAGCCTTTGAGATGGTACGGTCATTTCTCTTTGAAGGAGAGCATTCAGGTTTAGCTGGGAATCTAAATGCAGGAGTACCTGTCACTTTCCAGTCACGTCTTCTGATTTTTGGGGGGAATAATGTGCATTATCATATGTTTAAGGTGCATGTGATGGAACATATGAAACCGTAAGAGAGCTGCTCTCATCAAGGGTTTATGTACGTGAAATGGAAGATGTTTTCAATAGCCTTATTTTAGATAAGTATGCATAAATGAGTGTTGTTGAAATACTTCAAAGTTTTGAGCTACTTCAGTGGACGTATTTTGGAATAAAGATGTTCTCTTTGAATTACTTAGTATCAGGGCAAAGATACAGCACTAAAGCAATTTTCTTTTCCTCCAAGAGAGTTCACTGGAATTTATAAAACACAGAAATAGGTGTATATTTGGATGCTTCCCCCCCAGTAAAAAAAAAAAAAAGCCTGCCCAATATATTAATGATGTTCTATTGCTGGTTAAAAAAAAAAAAAAGCTTGGGGAAGAGTGAGACAGAATTCAGCATAGCTGGGAGACCGGCATATCTTAGCACACCAGGTTGAAGACTGAATCCTCATCCTGTGATGTCTCGCAGGTTCCCTACCAGGAGTGTTCCTCCAATGACGCCGAGCTCAGGGTTGCCTGTCCCCGGTTCCAGCAGCGTTGTTCTGCTGGTGGAGCTGCGTGAAGGCTCCCGGCAGTCGATGATCCCTTTGGTTAAAGTTGAGATCTTAAATTCCACCTAACAGCTCAGGGGAGGTTGGGCCAGACGGCAGGCAGTCATGCTGCCCACCAAAGGGTCTGCTATTTCTACATTGCTTCATCCTCTCAGCTTTGCAAGCTAGAACTGCCATCGCGCGCTGTGCCTGTGCAGGCATGGGTAGCAGGGACGTGGTCCGCTGTGGGGAAGGAGTGTGTCTGTCATCGCGTGGAAGTCCTTGTGCACGTACCCTCTGTTAAGTCTCCCAAACATAATAATGACATGCAGTAGCTTCCTTCAGTCCCATGAGTGCCTTCACATAATGGACAGGGTGCCCTTCCTCTGGGGTCTTGCACCGTGAAATACTTGATTTTAAAATCTCTCTGTGAAGGACAGGGCAAGGGATAAGGCAGCAAGCTATATACAGCAGTAATGAAAAGAGCTATTTAAGAAGTGGGTGTAACAAACTCTTAATTAGATATGAGCTAAAATAATGCTGCTCCAAATTCAAGTCAGCTTCTTGGAATGTAGAAGGGAAGCTGAAGCCCTTACAAGTGCCAATTAACTTGAGTGAGCTGGTAGATGAAGTCAGGTGTCTTCCTTGCTTGGATCAGCACATTGTAGTGAAATACTGAGTTCTTCCGCCAATGTCTTTTATTTTGCCAGGCCAGTAGCAACCCTTAGAAATTAATAAATAGCTTGCATGACTGCTTGCATTACTGTTGTGAGGTGGAAATCGCAAAATTCAGGATTTATGGTTTTTAAGCTTAGCTATAACGATGTACTGACAGTATGTGTGATTTTTGTGTAAACTACGTCTTGCCAAATGTAATCTCTTAAGCTTGCAAGTTGAGTTGAAACAGGTGACTAACATTAGATTCCTGTGAGGCTTCTTGGCTTTAACTTTTGGTGTGTACATGCTGAGTACCATGTGATGTAACTTCAGCTCAATTTTAGAGCATTGATTTCCATGCAGAGGCCATCCGCTTGAATTTGCAGTGGCTTTAGGACAAGAATATATATCCCCATAACCCTTACCCAGATAACTGTCTGGAAGAAACTGCAGAATTTCGCCTGGCAAACTCTGCAGATGACATCAGCAGGTCAGTTCTGTAGAAAACGATGCTTCCTCAGTATTCGGTTGAACCGTATGTAGTGTTTTGAACCAGGGATCATCCACCGGGGTACAGGACGGTGGCCGTGCGGAGCAGGAGACGGTGGCTCTGAAAGGAAGGAGGGCTGTGAGCGATGGCTGACGGCGAGGCGTGCAGCGCGGTGGTGAGGACCACCATGAATCCTGAACGTGCTGAAGGTGAAAACTGGAGGCAGTTACTGCAAACACCACAGCTGAGTTGTTTGAAAATACACTGGAGAACGTGATGGCTGTTGGAGAACATTTAAGTGATTTCTTTGTGGGAAGAGTCTTTTGATAGCTCCTTCGCTTATTTAAAAAGCAGTAGTTGTTGGTCAAAAAATGGTCCAAAAACATGGTTTTGTGACTGTTAAAAGTTGGTATTCCTGCCTAAAGCTGGCCCCCCTGCATTCTCCCCTGCTTACTGCGGCTTTCCCTGCTCCCGCCTTGTCTGCTGCGCGTTGTGTTGGCAGCAGGTCCGGGTTAGTGTTCACCCGTGTGTCGCAGTTCCACGTGCAGCCACTTGAATGCTTCTCCCTGCACAGGGGAGAGGGGCACGCTGGTGTCGGTCAGCTGTGGGGAGTGGGTATCTCGGAAAGAATATCACCACTTTTGGTGGTGGTGACAGCGTGCTCTGGTTTAAAATGGTTCCAGCTGAGTTGTCTGTTTCCAGCGGTGGCTGTACTGCATGCATCCATCTGATGACATTCCAGCATCTTGTAATGTGTAATACAGGGAATTATAATAAACTCATGTTTTACTGTGGGTGTTGATTTGACTGTTCATGATCTTGCTTTTGTAACTATATCTACATGAGCTTTCTGAGTCTTTGAATAAAAGCTGGTTTTTTCACGGTAAGAACTCGTCCTGAAACATCTTGGTCAACTCCCAAAAGAGTGCCCTTGTACATGATTTCCTCCCCACTTCCTCACTCCTATATGTAAGATTAATGGATATGTGAGCATTTAAAGAGGTTATATGTAAGCTACTGTTCTTTGTATTTGTTACCTAAACAAGTAGGAAGTATCTGTAAAAGAATCTTAATTAAAACTTATTTTGTAGGATAACTGGGATGATGAGGAGGAAGAGGAGGAAGTAAAGGAGACAGAGATAAAACAAGGTAAGACTTAAAAGGAATACATAGCTCTGTATGCAGCATCAGAACAGACACTGGTTTTGCCTTGAGTGTATCTGAAGAATCAAAACCACTTTCCAAATAGGGTCGGTTTTGTTTTTGACAAAGCATGTCTTTTAACTCTCTCTGTGTTCAGATTCCAGTAATTGAGCTCTGTCGCTTTCTCTTTGATTAGTGGTTCTGTAGTCGCTGGAAAAAAAAATCAGTAGACCTCTTGAGAGCTGTATTGTTCAATGTTTTACAGAACCAAAAGTTTCAGAAAAAAAGAAAATAGCAGAAAAAATAAAAGAAAAAGAAAAGCTACAGAAGAAAAAGCAAGAGGAGCTTAAAAAAAGGGTAACTCCTTTTTTCTTCCGGGTCTCGTAAAATTTAGAGGGCAGGTGTGGTTGGTTTTGGTTTGGTTTTTTTTTGAGGTTGAACAAGATCTGTAAAGATCTTGACTATTCTGATAAAACAAACTTAAGTCTTGTACTTACTTAAAACTGGGGGCTGTTAGCTTTAATTTCTCTGTAATTTAACCAAGTTATTGAAATAATGCTTATTGCTGTTTCTTTTGTATGCACCTCATGATAAAACATGGAGTTGTGAAACTTGGAACTAAGGTGTTTCTTCCTACTTCTTGTAAAATGAACAATTTATTAAACAAGGTGGCATTGTTATTGGCACTGTATTGGGGTGGTTTTCAGGTCTGTACATGCTTGAGGTATATTGACTTCAGGCAGAAGTAAGCTATTCAAGTGGCACTGGAAAAAACACGATTTCTTGTACTAGCTCTGCTCAAGGGTAAGAAATACAACGTTCTCCCTATGTACATCTTTTAATTCAGTTAGAGGCACCAGAGGAAGAAAAAGAACTTACACCAGAAGAACAGTTAGCAGACAAACTACGACTAAAGAAATTACAAGAGGAGTCAGACCTTGAGTTAGCAAAAGAAACATTTGGTAAGTGTGCTGTGCCCGGGTCAAGCAAGTCGATGTAACTGTAGCATCACAAAAGCACTGTATTCTCTAAATAAAACTGTGTTATGTGCAAAAAGAACTGAGCAGGATTTGACTGTCGCATGCAGGTTGTGTTACTGAGAATAAAGAGGGGTTTAAATTCAAACTACTGGAGGCGTGTCCTGGGAGTAAGGACTAATTGCAAGAAGCACAAAAACATCTTTAGACTAGAAGGTGCTTTTTCTTAACGTGTCATGGTAGGAGGTTATAGGAAAAGGATGGTTGACTAATTTTCCAACATATTGGTACTTCTGGTAAAAAGATGAGTGTGTAAAAAGAAAAAAAAAAAAGGAAAAAGTGCTGTCTCTTAATGTTCTGAGGTGCTTTACGATGAGGATTTAATGAGGCTTTGGACGAGCGTGGCACAGCATAATTCATGCACGCTGTACTTCAGGCTGTGGAATAAGCTAGATGCTGAAAAAGCCAGTTAAGTCAGGGGAATGAGCTTGTTTCCCGGCACAGATGAAGTAGACTTAAAGCAGATCATTCTGGTTTTGTGCTTTGACAGAACTAGCAAAGATACTGATTCATAGCAGCATTCTTCAAACATGAAAGCGTGTTTCCTTGATTATAGTGAATTATACAGCTTATTACTCAGTGAAAATTCTGCTCTGCGAGTCTTCTGAAAGAGTACAGTGCCTTGCGGGGGATACGTTGAATACAGTTGCAAAGAACCAACTAAATTTTGCACTTAGGAGCTCAAGACAGGAATTCCTTATTTAAGGGGAAAGGGGCTTCATGTAGTGCATGTTGCTCCAGAGAATAGAAATAGCTGGTTCAAATTACTAAGCTTTGCAGCAAAATCTCTCTCCATACAGGCTAGTAACTCAGGCTGTTAGCTTCTGTGGGGCAGAAGCCAGTGGGAAGTGAGTAAGCAAACCTCAGCTGTGGTTTTGTGAAGCTTTGGTGGAGGTGAGGAACTGAATGTGAACAAGGTCACTTGTTTCCTCTGGAGTCATCTTTTAGGGATCACAGCTAACGTTTTCTGTAATACCTCTGTCTTTCCATGCAGGTGTAAATAACACATGTGGATTAGATGCCATGAATCCCTCTTCAAAAGATGACTTTACGGAATTTGGCAAACTACTAAAAGAGAAAATTACACAGTATGAAAAATCATTACATTACGCCAGTTTTTTGGAAGCATTAGTTCGAGACGTATGTATTTCATGTAAGTTAAGTGAAAGACATCCTAGAATACACTGCTACCAAAATCGCAATGGAGTTGAAGTTGAAAACATGCTGTTATATTAAATGTTAAATCGAGATTGATCTATGTAGTTTATACTACATGAAGTACTAATCTGTTTCACTGACTAGTATCTGATTCCATTCCCACAAACTGTATTACAGATTGTGTGCTTGCACAAGGGTTACATTGCACGTCAGTTAAAGACAGTCATTTTAAAAAGTGTGAATTTTTATGCTGATCTAAATCTTGCATGTTTTTCTTGAAGCCATTTCTAAAATAATAATAGAAAAAATTCTCTGAGCCAGATAACTTGAGTAACTCATTTGGAAGGAAACTATTATAAAATTGAGTTCATGTAATTCTGGGACTGCAAAATAAATTGTTCTGGAATTCAACATGTAACTATACAGAGATAAAACTAACGTAAACTCATTTTTTTCTGTTGCTCTGGTCGGCTGGAGTACTTGGTGAATTCATTGCTTGAGATCTTTTCCTGTACTGTACACATGTTGTCCTTCAGTGAAGTTGTAACTTGATACTATTTAGTGCTGTAAAAATACAGTGATCACTGGCTGACCGGAGCTGGTAACTTAAATTTCAAATGGATTCCAGATCTTCTAAAGTGAAGGGCTCACAACCTCTTGGACCATTTATTGCTAATTATTTATTATTAATCCACTGCTCCTTTTGATATGTTTTACTGCATTTTACTGTATCCATGTTTTACTGTTCAAATGCCTCCTCATTAAGACTTTTGTGTTCACTAACTCCTAATTTGCAAGTTTTACCTTCTACAACATTCAAGCTGCTTACTAGGGACTATCTGAAATAGGAGTTGTGATTGTAAGGACCAGAATTACCCAGTCTGTATTTTGCTCATTTAAATCAAGTAATTGCCTGTACTTACTACTAATGCTTATTTCTAGTTTTTAGAGAATGTTGATGTTAGATTATTTAACTGCCTTCTAAGAAAAATATTAATGAGGAATCTTTTTTTTTTCCCTTCCCCCTGATGTAGTGGAAATTGATGATTTGAAAAAGATCACAAATACTTTGACAGTACTATGCAGTGAAAAACAAAAACAAGAAAAGGTAAGACTTCCACATGTTTCTGCAGCAATAACAATACTCGCTAAAGGTGCTAATCTGGAAAAAGGGAATAGGTCTCACACTGACTTGTACTGCTGATTTTTTTAGAGGTAGTAGCAGATTAAGTGATAACCTTGGGTACTGGTTTAGCATTAAATCCTCTTCACTCTGTGAGTTGATTGAATCTAGAGATCACAGGCAAAACCTCGATTAATTTACATAAATGTTACCTATGTGCTAACCTTGTTATGTTTTATGCTGTCTTGGGGTTAAAATGGCTTACACCCATATCCTGAAGACAGAAGCCAGCCTCATTTAGAGTTAAATGTCAATATAATACCAGTCTATGGAAGTAACTTAAATCTTTGCCAAAGTTTAGGATTTTAAATAGCAGATAACTGGGATTTTTACAGTGTCATGCAAACTAAAGAAGCAATAACCGCATAGGCAAGGAAGAGTAAGTTTTAAAAAGTGATGTAATAGCTTAACTGATGCTTATGTGATGCAAAACATTGTGTTTTATAGCACACATCTATGTTAAAACTCTAGGTAGGTTGGAGTTCAGTGAGTAATTGAATTGTTAGATAGCAACAAAATTAAGCAGACAATATGACTAGCAAGTGCAACTCTTGGTATGTTTTCAAATTGGAGGATTGGTAGGAGACAAAAGGCAGAGCGTTGTCAATGTAAGTAGTAACTTGTAGATGTAAAACGGGAAACCTTTTAGACACAAACTGTTCCAGTGGCAGGTGTTCTTCTGTGATGCCAGTTCTAACTCTCCAGGCATGAGTGAAGCACCTTAATGCAAACCAAACTTCATGTACAGTGTTAATGCATTAAGTCTGGAATTCAGCAAAAGTGTGATAAACTTTTTCTTTAATATGAACTGCGCTTTGGAGAGAAGCCTGTGACTTGTTGAACCAAACAAGTTTAAAAAGAAAAAGTATGTATACTTCCTATTTTTATACTCTTCTCTCCTGGCTTTTCATGTAAATTAGTTTGGGCAACCACTGAAAGCTACAAGTACACCAAGCCAGTAAGGAAGAGCTTTACTATGAACTGTTCTGTAGAGTTTGTTTAGAACTCTTTTTTTTGCAAGGAAGACATTCAGCCACTATGGTGATAAAAGCAACATTAAATTCCTTAATTAAGTTGGTAATTTCACAAAACTAAACACTAGACTCTGCATTTACTTAATTATTCTACTTGTTCAGAGTCTAGGTAAAACAGGATGAAAGACAAAACATGGGCAAGTATGCGATGCAGGGAGCTGTAGGACACCTGAAAATGTCATAGCTGTGCTATGACTGGATTGTGTTCTGGGATGAAATGTGGGGGTAGAAATCATTGGCAACAGTGCATTCACCCATGGGTATGCGAACGTTCATACCTGAAGACATGTGGCATTACTCTAATTAGAGTAATGACAAATTACTGTGGATTTTGAACATGCTCTTCCTATTTAAGCAGAATAAAGCCAAAAAGAAGAAAAAAGGTGTTGTGCCTGGAGGTGGTTTAAAGGCTACTATGAAAGATGACCTGGCTGATTATGGAGGATATGATGGAGAATACGTACAAGACTTCGAAGACTTCATGTGACATTTATCTCCCCTTCTGTTGTCTTTCTGTTGCCCATAATCCCTTAAACATGTAGCACAACTTTTCTTCCTTTAAATTCTGCCAAATGCTACAATCAAAATTGCAGTATCTCTGTGCTGGTGGTTTAACTCTTGAGGGGTCAGTGCTAAAGCACTGGGCTTCCTGTTCTGTGGTCGGGGATTAGAACGAAGACACTTAAAAGCTAGGTAAATTGCAGTTACAAAACCCAAAATTCTGATAATGGTAACTGTTGCTATTTGGTTTTATAGTAACAGCCACTAAATTGGAAATGAATTTCAACACGGCAAAGTATTATTACCAGCACAGTTCAGTGACATGGCCTTAACTGTACCTCCTTGAATGACTTGTTTGATGAACAAAAGCAGTTTGCAGCAAGGGCATGGTGTGCACTTAGTATTACAATTGCTTTGTCTTAAGTTAGAGCTTGAGGTTTTCAGCCTGTTGTGAAGGGGAACTGCTAACTTCAGAGTGAGGATACTGCACCTGAAATGCATCACTTGAGATACCTGCTACTTCAAAGCTTGACATCTAAACAGAACACTGGGTGGGTCAGGACAAGGAAAGAGTTGCTTATTTGAAAAAAAAACAACTTGTGTCTCAAGTATGAAGTTTAGTTTCCATTCATCTAAATTTCTACTAATGCAGCTGTATGGGTTGGGTATTCTTTAACAGTTAATTGCCTGGTTCAAGTGTAAAAAAACAAGACTTCTTTTGGTCTCTCATGGGTTGTGGTAGACCTTTCACGACTCAGCCATTTTCTTTCATTTAAAAAAAAAACTTGCTTAGCAAACTGCAACAGTTACTACAGTTGGGCAAATTGTTATGTTAACAATTATGACATCTGCAATGTTTTATAAAGCAACTAATTTAATAAAAATCACTATTGAGGACTTCACTACAGCTGTCTTTGGACCAGTATCTTACAGTAAAAATACTTGAAGTGGTAGAGTTGCAAAACAGATGTGTGCTGGGCATGTGGTACTAGGTCTAGCCTTTGCTCTGACTTGCAGCTCTGACTTGCAGCTTAACTGGTGTTAGAGGAGCAAGATTTCATTCTTGTAAAATTGCTGTTTCTTATGATAAGACTCTTAGAGATGCTGATGGTAAACAAAATACTTCTAGGACTGCTGTAATCCAACCATTTCCATGACAAACTTAATCTTTTCTATTGCTGGAACTGCTGAGCTCAGTGGCTTGTACTTACCTTAGGAATATGTTAGGGTGGCCCTTGTCAGTGTAAGCAGTTATTTTATTCTAACTGGCAGCTGCTGTTACCAGAAGCAGCCCCGCATTTACAACTTGCGGTTTACTCGGGTGTTTGTTCCTAATATGGATGAGCTACATGTGTGCTTCCACAAGGCAGGCATTCTTCCAGATCCTTCCTGTTGTTAGCAGTCCCAAATTTTTAAAGGATCAGGGATGGTAATTCTAAGAAGGACAGCTCGAGGTTCTCCTTTCATGCCAGGAACTTTAAAGTTCAAGTTAAAAGATTGCTAGCCATTATTTAACTTAGACTAATCACAGCCAACTCAGTCTAATTTGGTCTTATGAGACTGACTAGAACTGAAATTTTAAGTAGTGTTCTGCTCAGGCATAATCCTCCCTACATAAAATGTTTCATTTAGCAAAGGAGCTGTGACTTGTAGTATGTATAGCTGTGTACAACTTCTAGTGCTGCTCTTGCAGATTTGAGATAAATACTGTGTGTGGACATATTTGTCATATGCAGTGGTTGCACATGCATGAAAATGTTCAGCAACAAAAAGGATTGTAAGCTGTAAATTCAAGTTAGCATCTCTTTGCTAATTAACTGGGCTGCTATGGCAGTTGTATTTTTGCTAGGACAATGTTTAGCGATCGTATGATATCATTGCTTAATTTTACTTAAAAGCTGTCTGTATGCTGTAGTCAGCTCTCAGCCCTCCCCACACCCCTTTTTTTTTGACAGGAGGTAACTTGCTGGATTAGTTGGAAGCTCTGCAGGCTGCATTTATTTTGGGGAGCATACAGAATCCAAGCTAAAACTGGGTTTCTGCCTGAAGCAGTGTCCAAGTCTTATCCCCTCCCCAGTTAAATCAGACCTGATCTTGTAAACTTGCCAAAACAGCTAAGTGCCAGAATACTCGGGTTGCTAGCTCCTGACAGGGAGTCATACCAACTGTCTGCCCAGTAGGGCTGTCTAAGCATGGAAAGGAGTTAAAATTTAATAACTGTTAAGAATATATTTGTGCTTGATTACTTCTTTTACTCCAAGACAGTGGCAAATTAAGTATATGCTGTTTAGAGTTGTACAAGGCTATTTCACTTCATCACTAAGCCAGAAAACAAAACCAGGCTAATCAGACAGGAATCAAGGAATGGATTATCCTAGCGTGGATCTAAAACCTTCTCTTGCTTATGTCATTGTCAACGTACTGGATATTCTGCACGTTCTATTTCAGCCTTCTGTCGGTTTAGATCCAATTCTTACGGTGATCAATCATCCACACCCCTAATTTAAAGGACTGCTGGATTGCAGTGGTTC